TAAATCGTGACAGTAGAAATGAAATACTCACTCTCAGTCTCTTGTTTTGTCAGCCATCACAAATTGTTGTGTTCCACAAAATACATAAAGTGCTCTCATTCAAAAGTGCATTTTAAGTTCTGACTGCTGAAAACTCCATTCCGATTGCACAGCAGGTATATCTATTGTTAACATTGCTATTTTGATATGTACTGTAAGTGCGGCATAATCACTGAGCTGCCTGTTCTCTTCTGATTTGGAGGAAAATGTGACTTGAAACTACACAAGGTGCAAAAATCCAACTAAATAAAGGCTCAGAGACACCTGAATAACTGAGAAGGCTTGTTATTACTTTTTGTACAGCATCTTCACAGATTCTCATTCTTATCATTACCTCTATATGCATATTGTCGTTCAGAGTCACTGGGAGAAGACGTTACGGTCACACTCTATACAGGTCACTAGTCTGCAGGGCAAACACAGACAAACATTTACAACTTTGAGCAAGTTAGGACCTCACATTCACCTGATTTGCATCTTGAAACTGTTCGAAGACACACACACACACACACACACACACACACACACACACACACACACACACACACACACATACACACATACACACAAACACAAACACACAAACAACGGGCCTGTTTTACAGTACAACCAGATCTCTGGTTATACTGAAAACATGAAGTCATTTCTGAAACATGTGTGACAAGTTAAAGGGCTTATCTAAATGAAATAGTAATTGAAGCATTAATAATTCATGATCATTTCTCCATTTAGGCACATGCCATGACAATTTGCCAGATGTAGCATCCCTGTCTAGAAGTCCTTGCAGCCAAGAGCCAGTGGTTTTATTTTCAGTTCAAGCACATTGTTGTGTTTTGTAATTTAAGTGATCTCTCATAGCTGCAATGTTACATCTTAGGGAAAAAAAAGAGACTATCCTGGAGAGATGGTGTAGATACTGACAAAAGAAACAATATGTATTGCCATTTCTTTCATCATGATCTCATAGAAAAATCCATTTCATTTAAGAAGACGTGTCAAAATCTGTCTCTCTTTTGCAAGAATCCTTTCATTCTACTGTCTGTCTCACTCCATGGTATAAAACTGCATCAGAATTGAACTGGTGCAAACAGTTCAGAATTATGTGTGCGTGTCCGCTGTGTATGTATGAGGTTGTCTGTGTTTTGTGAGTGAGAGAAGTGAAAGAAAAAAAAAAGAGAAGGAAACAAAACAAAAAGAGACTTGTAGTTGGAGGTAGTCGTCCATGAAAACTCTCACTATCAGGGCAGCAATCATTTTATCTCCTTGTATCTCCTCTGTCCTCTCTCCACTAGCACACAGAGCTGGCCTCTCGTAATGTTCACTGACCCATACAGGACTCCACTGTGTCTCAGTTCCAGTCTTGGGAACTTTTCAAGAGGCCACATTTGAGTTTTCTCCAGCACAGAAAGTCAAAATGTATTAAATTCACCCTTCAAACGTCGTTAAATCCTGTTCATTTGTAAAAATCTAAAGAAAATAATTAACTGAAGATGTTTGATTTTTTTTTTTAAATTATCAATTAGATTTTTCCCTGTGAAATGGTGATACGTTAATATTAATGTATCCAAAAAGTCATTGGTCACCTTCTAAATCCGTACAGCACCCCTCCTCCTCCTCCCACCCCCCCACTGCTTAGACCATCTGAATCCTTGACGACTGGTCTGTTTTTAGCCATGCTGGATGGAGGCCTGGCACGGTGTGCGGGGGAGGCCGGACCAGTGGGGATGTCCTGGTGCAGTCTGTCCTACACTGTACGCTGGACTCCACGGCCATCCCATATTAATCAGATTTGCCGCAGCAGCCATATGTCCAAGCAGCATGATAAACCCCGGCTGCTACCTGGCACCCACAGGACGCACTGTCAACACAGTGTGTGTGTGTGTGTATGTGTGTGTGTGTGTGTGTGTGTGTGTGTCTGCATGGCTGTGTATATTTCACACATCGTTTCTCCAGAGACATTCCTTCAAAGATCTGTTGAGACATCAAAATGATACTGGTGTAGATAAGACAGGTATATTTTTTGTGGGCTTTAATTTTCTTCAAGATACTCTGAGGAGGGAAAAAAAAGCATGAATGAACAACAGGGCATCAGAGGTAACCCTGAAGGAGGAGGAAGTCAGTTTTGGAGCAAGTGATCATTTGCCACAGTGTATGGGAAATACATGGGGCTATGTACGTCACTACAACAGGAGAACTGGCACTATGGAAGTGCTTTAAAAAAAGGCTCATTCCTGTTTCCATCTGTCGCCTTATGCTTAACAGCACATTTTATATTTCATATTCTCACATGATTCAGCTCCAAGGGTGTCACGTATTTGAGACACTGTGCATATCACTACTGTGTAAAAGCATTGTAGAGAATCAAGCCCTGGATTAGCACTGTTGACACAGATGGCAAGTTGGTGACTGCATATCATTCTTCTAATAGATTCCACAAAAATATATGCATTCCACAATCCATCATTCATAACCGAACCTCGCAAGAGGCAACACCAACACTTGTCAAACATGATTAACTGTGTCTGTACCTTAAAGAAATTTAATTTCTCCTCAGTGTCTCTGCCTGTAAATCAGACAACAATCACCAGCGAGCCCACTCACATGATTTGTGGCTCAGGTTTTTCAGGTATTTGAATTTAACAGACTGAATTATTAGGAAAGAAAAAACTTTTTCTGCATGAGTAAAAAGTTGCTGTTTAAACAAAAACAGAAAAATAAAGAAAAAACTCAGCACAGAAAGCAAACAGTTCACATGCTTTTATTTGAATAATCAGGGTAGATGTTATTGCCATCTACTGTCTGCAAAAGGCAAAAAAAAAACAATGCATCTCACTCACACAACTGTGTACATCATGCAGAGGAAGGTTCTTACTATGAACACGTATTAAAAATTATGATATAATGTAACATATAGCATTAATATGTGTGTGTTGTATAATCTTTACCATAAATCTGCAAGACAAATATGCCCTACACCCAGTGGTGGATAATCTTTAATAAAATTAAGCTTTATTGTGAACTTTATATAATTCATGATTCATATAAACTACTGTGCTGTCATGTTTAGAGTCTTACCCATCACACAGTACCATGCTGGAGGAATCTGATTGCTCACAAACATACAGCATCTTAAAGAAATGTCTTCAGCAACAAGAAGAACAAGGAGTCCTGCAACAGATGGTGCGGCCCCCACAGAGCCCTGATCTCAACATCATGGAGTCTGTCTGGGATTACATGAGGAGACAGAAGACAGTGAGATGGCCTAAATCCACAGAAGAGCTGTGGCAAGTTCTCCTGCATGCTCAGAACAACCGACCTGAATATCAAGGACAACTGGTGTTGCTTTAAAGGCAAAGGGTGCGGTCACATCAACCACTGATTTGAAATCGGTTTGAGGTGTGAAATTTTTTTTTTTGTGCCTAAAACTTTGCACAGCACTGTAGCTGCAAAAATGAAAGACAAACTAAAGTGAGTTATGGAAAGAAAAAAAGTGAACTTTAAATGATGCATTCAAATGTCAAGTCTTAAGGTAGTTTGAGTGTAAAAATGTATAAGACATAAGAGCTCATTATGAAAATGTAGAATTTAGAATTTATCTGTGCAATAACATGACAAGAGATATGTCAGTGCAGCATTTATGGCAAAAAGCTTCACTAACACATTCTTCTTTACAAAGAAAAACATTGTCAAATGATATTATTGTCACTCAATCATGCAAGGTAGCCTCTTCTCCTCACTAGCCACCCTCCCTTGCGTGCCGCTCAACCCCCACCCACCCACCCACCAACTCGTCACCCACCCATCCTTTACACTGACATACATCTGAGCAGGACCCTGCACCTTTTGTCTTGGGCTCCCTCTTTGTTAGCAGCTGGTGGACAGAGCAGCAGCCTGCAGCAGCAGCAGCATCATGTCTACTTTACAGTGTAATGACAATGTACTGCAACACATCAGCTCTCTTCTTTATATATTTTTATTTTTTTTGTTTTGTTTGTTTTGAATGAAGGACAGAATGCCTTAATACACATGTGAATTTATTATTTTACTTTTATTTGAATAAAGGTGATAAATCTTTGGGGGAGTGATGATTTTTACTATGGATATATTTTGATATTTATTTTTATAATATTAGGGTATGTATTAACTCTGCATCTATCTATCTATCTATCTATCTATCTATCTATCTATCTATCTATCTATCTATCTATCTATCTATCTATCTATCTATCTATCTATCCATCCATTTATCTGTGTTGTTGTTTGTGTGGTTGAGGTGTTGAAGCAGCATCATCACCACCAAAGTGAACTGCAGATAACCCCATGACGTGGCAGACACAGTATGGAAAGCCTATATAAAATTGACGGTGCCCGCATGTATCTGGTGGTGGTCTGAGCCGCTGATAAGGCTTTGCAGGCTATCTGACTTCAGTCTAGATGAAGGATGAGCTTCTCAGACATAGACGCTGTCCATCCTGCTGATGCTCCCTCGTCTCGTCGTAAACTCTTGTGCACCCTCTGGTGCTTGCTAGTCTCCCAAACTTCTTTGTGTAGCCTGCTTTGCAGATTGTCTTCCTTGTCTGTGTGGTTGCTCATTATTCAGAGACAGACGGATCTCAGGTCATCTGCAGCTGCAGCAAAGGAGAAGCAGGAAAGATGGCGATCATCCATTAGAACGACCGGGCGCACGCATGAAATACGAGGACAACTTTTGGGAGGATCGCTTGAGGAGAAGATTGTACTAGTGAGTTTTTCCTCTTGCACTATATTTCCAGTTTCGCCAAGATTTCGGCTGGGCTTTCAAGGTCTGCGAGAACGTCGGTATGGTAGATCATGGGATATAATTTGGAGAGCGCCTCGTGAATGACCTGGAAAGAGCTGATCCCCCCCCCCGTTTTTTCTCCTTATAGTCCAGGTCCAGCCGACTTGGGAGTGGAGGAGAGAGGAGATTTTAGTCGGGTGGGCGCTCCGGCTGGCACCCATGCAGCCAAAGTCAAGTGGGTCTTCTCGCTTCCCACTTAATATCCTAACCAACCTACCGCTTCCTCGCTATGTCGCCTTTCGGTTTGTTGTCAAAGTGACACACGGAAATGGACGCGGCGGTGTAAAGAGGCTCGCCTGCGTGTTTCAGCAGCACCGGAGCGGAGTGTTTTGTTATTCTGACATGTCTGGTCAGGGGAATTACTGGCCCCGGCTGTGCGTCCCCTCTCCGGCCGTGCGTGTTGTTGCGCGTTAGCTTCATGGAGAAGCCATTGCACGGATTGCTCTCCTCTCCCAACCAGCCTCCATTAGCGACACAGAGGAGCTGGCATAGCCGCTGGTCCAGTCACACTCACACACACTCACACTCACACACACACGCTCACACACACACTCACCATGAAAACCATGTCCAGTGTGAGGAGGCTATATGTGTTCCCCTCAATATTTAAAAAAGAAACCTTATCTGGTGGCTGGTTTAGACTCGGTTCTCCACAGGGTTGGAGCTAGATGTCTCTTGGTGGTGGTGAAATGAATGTAAGCGCAGTGTGGCTTTATATATTTTTATTCTGATTTCTGTTTTTGTTCCTGGTGCTTACTGCTACATTGTTAGCCGCTTGCTCCCCTGCACTGTTTGGATGTCTATTTGCTGTCACTGGTCTCCAGTCAGGTATGTGTCATACTAGTAGGGGCTTCACCATAAAATGGAGGAAGGCAGATGAGTCTCCAAGGAGAGCCCTGGAGTCAGACAGGCAGGATCCCTCACGCCAGAACAAAGGTTGTGTTCAAAAAACAAAAAGACTAGAGGATAAAAAAAAAAATAAAAACAAGAATCGGTGAGGGTGATATCCTACATCTCTGCTCCGTTACATCTCTTCAACTCTTCCTCTGCTTCTTTTTCTGCTTTTTTCAGCTCTGAAGTTTTAGTCAGCTAGAGGAAACAGAAGAACTCTGAAAAAGTGAGGCTAGATCATTTAGTGGGTCTTTCAAGGTTAACTCCATGAACTTGCTGCTTTAATTTACATAGCCTCATTAAACACAACTTGGCTTGGAATATCTATATATACATATATATCTATATATATATGTATATATATATAATTTTAAAGATCTGCAGCTGACACTTTTGGACAGTACATGTTTGTGACTGTGATCGCTGAGGGACACATGGATGAGATAGGAATTTTAATGCTGAATAATGCAGTGTTTTGGCCATGCAGGCAGTTAATGTTCAACAAAGTGGTCTAAACACACACACACACACACACACACACACACACTCATTCTCTCTCTCTCTCTCCTCTGTGTGTGTGTGTGTGTGTGCATGTGTGTGTGAGTAAAGTGCTGGCTGTTGCGGATAGTTTCTGAAAGGAAGTTCTCAAGATGATTCTTGATTCTTTGTTTTGGATGAGTTTTTGGTCACATTACTGCTGTTATCTTCGTCCTGGTGGCTGTAAATGTAAAGGTAAAATGTTTGTTAGTTACACAGGAGTCCTCTCTGTTTACTGGGCAGCACATGTGTCTGTTATTGCACGATTACACTTATTTATTTGGTGTTTCGAGCATGTTTAAAAGTTATTCGGACTAATGGATTAGGCTGCAGGTCATTTATTAGCAAGCTCGATGTTGTAATGTCCACTGTACAACCTTAGGTGACGTTTCACACTTTATATCCTAAAGGTATCTGTTGACCAGCCTGTCAGGAGAGTGGAGGTGTGTTTGCAAGCTGTGGTCTGTGTGTGTGTGTGTGTGTGTGTGTGTGTGTGTGTGTGTGTGTGTGTGTGTGTGTGTGTGTGTGTGTGTGTGTGTGTGTGTGTGTGAGAGAGAGTGTGTGTGTGAGTGTGTGAGAGTGTGTGTGTGAGTGTGAGAGAGTGTGTGTGTGAGTGTGAGAGAGTGTGGCTGTGCTACGCTCTGCAGTTCCCCTGGCCACTGTGTGAAATCTTGCTGACAAGGAGACTGTGAGCTTGACACACTGTGCTGCGACAATGCTGGGGCTGAGAAGAGCAATCAAAATGGTGGCGATGCTCCTTCTCCCTGGCGTGGCAGGGCAAACAGGTTCTCAAGGAGGAGCCGATAGAGGACGGCCGGGCAGGAATCTGCTGCGGTCGACACATTTGTCTCACAGACGGGTGCAATGGAAATAGTCTGGTGGATAGTGGATGTTCTTCAAATGAGCCCAGTGATGTAAACCTGGATGTGATTGTGATGTTTTATTTTTTTTTCTTTGAAGAAAGCTCTGAGGCTACACAGATAGCCTCTGCCACAGAGAGCTGTGTCTTTGCACTTAGAGTTGCTGTTCTAACTTTCACAAGTCTTCAACACATTCTCGACTCCTTCTCAATTGTAAAGCGTATTCATGCTACAGTAGTAGCTGATCTGTGTGCTCAGGTTTTCTGCTCGGCTCCCCGGTTAAGGTCATGTGAGTCAGGGCTGTTTGCCTGTGCTGTGGCAGAGATGGCATTTCCAGTAGTTTGTGTTGTAGTAAAGCAGGGCTGGATTACTAACAGGGCAAAGTGAGCAACTGCTTATAGGAGCCACACTCTCAGAGGCCCCCAAAGTCCCCAGGTCCTCTGTGTGGCAATTACTTTGTAATGTAAATAATTACAGATCTGTCTGGTAATATACAGTGTAAATGTGAATTAAAAACTAAAAAGCACAGGGCCTTAAGGTGGCTCCTGCATTTTTACTCAATCTTGACTTCATGTCTTGAGGGCCTGTGTCTAAATCGTTAATTAATTGATTATTTGATCGACAGAAAATGAATCAGTTTCAGTAAATCTTCTGGTTCCAGCTTCTCCAGCATGAGAATTTGCAGCTTTCATCTGTTTTATATCGACATAAACTGATATAGTCATGGCCTGTTGCTTCCCTTTGTCATACAATGTGTCAGTAAATGTGATGTCTTTGGATTTTAAACAAAGCAAGACATTTTAAAATGTTGTCAACTGTGATGAGCAATTCTCACTTTCTTCAGACGTTATGACAAAAAGATGAATCGATTAATCAAGAAAGTAATCATCAGATTAATCAGTAATGGAAATGACTATTAGTTGTAGCCCTCCTAAGTTGAATTTAGTATCTTGAGTATTTTAATTAATTTTCTCCTTACATGGTGCATATCTTTAAATAAATTTGTGTGTAATCAATTTATCGCGAGCTAAATGACACAGAGCACCCTGGGGCATGATGATATTCCAGCGCACAACTTAGAAATACTGTTTGGTTTCTGGGACTTGAGGCAAAATGCACTGAGGGAACGTGTGTGTTTTTTGTGTGTGTTTACGCAGCAGTGAATTATTTAAAGTACCTTGCAACATGCTATAAGATACTGCACTATGTCATGGCAACATAAACATTTAACACCGGCATAAATGTTTCATTTTATTTATATTGATTCTTGTAGGTTTAATTGTAGTTTCATGGCCCTCAGAAAATATTTGTGACATGTCTGGAGCGTGACAAAGACTGTCAGAATCAAACCGGTTGAAATTTACCTCTGCATGAAATATTTAATGCACATTGTTACTGCAGTTCAGCTTTAAGGTGACAGGGCACAACTGAACTATGGTAGATACTTTTAGAAAAAAAAAAAAAATTACATAACTGGATTTTTGCAAGGTATTTCAGGATTACGCTAAAAAAGCTCAACAGAGAGGACAGGGGATTAAACAGGAGAGACTTCTGTGATGGTTTGAACACTGGAAGGAAGCGGTTGTGAAGCTCATCACTCACTCGGATACTCTTTCTGGGTCTCTCGCACTCACACTCACACACACGCACACAACTGCTCTCTCTCTCTCTCTCTCTCTCTCTCTCTCTCTCCCTCCCTCCCTCCCTCTCTTTCATTCAGTCACTCACATTGGGTGATGCACTCCTCCATTCTTCTCTACCTGGGGCAGTGAAGAAGGCTAGGGAGGCGCACAAAAGCAAATTGAAATGCTCCAGTGAGTGCTTTCTTGACATGATGCATGGCTCATGAGATGCAGCCTGGCCCTGCTGCTACACTTGTAAGTGTGCTGACACACACAGGCCCCACATCCACAACACTATAGTCATTGCAGCACAGCAAAAAAAAAAAAAAGAAAGAAAAAATCTCACTACTTGCTCTTGCATTTTTCTGACCTTCTGCACTCCCTAAGCACATTTCTTTCTTTCTTGAACCGCAAGATTTGATTGTGTTGGATTGTGTTTAAACCTGCTATAATCAAATGAATAATTTAATGCTGTGTAACCAGGCATCGGCCTGTTTGAAAGACCATAACACAACATCATGTCAGGGTTTAGAACAAGGAAGTGGCTTGCTAGAGGTGTCATTCCAGTTTCTGTTGTCAGATGCCACGTTACACTGCTGCAAAACTGGTTCCTCCTCTCTGCTTTCTATCAGAACATCAACAGTTCAACGTTGTCTTTTCCCCTTCTGCTTAAAAAAAAACAAACAAGGCTTGTAGCTGAAGCTCTTGTGTCTATCTTTGCCAGTCTTCACACATGTTTTAGGAATACAGGGGGCTAGTTTAGTAGAAAACGAAGACTTCAGGTATAAAGTGGCCATGCTGATGAGACAGTTTGTCCGGTGAGATAAATTAAGCCATCTATACGGCGTCCTCAGGTTTCCAGCCTAGTCTCAGGATTTATGCCCTTCTCTAATAAGACACAGTGAACCAACTCTGTCAGCCTCGAGCTGCCTGTGGTGGAAAAAATCCTGAATTCTTTGGAGACGCCCGTTCCTTGGGCAGTGTGGTGCCACCGGACAAGGCCTTCATTGAGCAGGAACAGGAGTGGTCTTGTAGAAGGGATCCACACTGGCTCGGCCTACGAAGCAACAGAGCTGTCCAAGGACGATTAAATATTTAGGAGCTTGGAAAGGAGGTCTCAGTGGTAAGTTAATATTGATGGGTCTCTCATCTTTCCCTTCTCAAACTTGTAGAGTTGCCTCGAGAGGTCAGTTTGGTGAACCTGGAGAGGAACTCTACTTCTTCTCTAAGATAAACTTACCAGTAGCTTTAGAAAAGGTTGCCAT